CTCGTATGTGTTCTCATTCGCCATCTCGTCATCTGCCTCGCTTTTGCAATTTCTTATGTGTTGCATTGGGGCCCGAATCACGTCAGATTAATGGTAAGCAATTTTTTGATATCTACGACTCTCTGGAACTACTCGCTTTCAGGAACACTTTCTCCCATCGAATTTTCCATTTTTCCCGTCCTCATCTGATAGTGAGAAATGTAAACAAAACGCTAGGCCGCTTATCGCAGCTTACACTGATTTTCGCACCTCCCCTGCTATCGCATCAGATAGCGCAAACACTGCATGCTAACACTTCTGCACTTGCTGTGTTCAAAGTTGAGGGTTAATAAAAAATAATTTACTCGAAGCTTCTTGGAGGTTTGTCGTTGCAGAAACACAATACTGTGGATCAGCTACATACTGAACAAATCGAAGCATACCGTATGAGGAACTACTAAATCTATTTGTGAAAACATTGGAAAACAAAAACTAACTACTATCCTAGTACTAAAACACCGGCGTCAAAACACTACGTATTCACAACACTTTCTTAAACATGGACAACAAAAATCAGAATTCTTGAAGCCGTTGTTTACTTAGGCCCAAGCATATTCTCGGGTTTCACCCATTGTCCGAACTGTTCTTCCGTCAAAATACCAAGTTTGATAGCTTCCTCTTTGAGAGTGGTGCCATTCTTGTGAGCAGTCTAGAAAAAACGTTGGTGATTTGGATAATTAGCGCAAGTCGGCTTGGAGGGGCAGCAATAGGTACTCAGCTAAGGCTGTACAGGTCACCTTGTGAAAACTTGTAAACCCTTGTGACCAAAGTGGTTCACTCGCACCATTCCGCAGCATCACAGGAGTTTACAAGTTTCACCAGCCTATTATTCAATGTGAACTGAAAGAAGGAACTAGGGAAGGTGCAAAATGCTCCCTCCAAGCCAAAAAGCGCCTAAATAACCGGTTACTTCTGCTTAACAGTGAGTTTACATTGCTTAAAACTCAAACCTTCGCGATCTTCGCAGCATTATCGTAACCAATATGTGGATTGAGGGCAGTAACAAGCATAAGCGATTCGCGCATAATCTGAAAAACATTAAATCTCTTGAATAGTTTACCTATCAAAGGAAAGCTAGCCGACTGAAACGACGGATTCTACAAATTACCAAGAAAATAACAAAAATATTCACCTTGGCGATATTTTCCTTAT